TTATTAGGTTATTCACTCCCCTCTAGCCATTAGGACCTTTCAGTACTCAGGGTTTTATTCCCCCTGTTGCAGGTGATTGAAGGATACATAGAGCCGACCCTTATGTGTGGAAACCTCCTGGTGGGCTTAGAAAGGATTCCTTTCCCGCTACGACCGTAGTGTTTATTTATAACTCTCACTAAAGGTTTTTATAAGAAAAGATGTAAAATCTGCTAGCATCTCTTGTATGAAAATGTCCACTATGTTAATACTCTACCATGTCATTATATTAATCATGCTTCCTCTGTAACTCTGATAACATTATTATATTTCGTTGTTATAATAAATTGAGGTAATATTCTGGTACTGTAATAAAGTGATGTAAGAAATGACTTTAGAATGTTGTAAGCTTTATTCTCTCATTTATGATCCTGATGGAAAAATGTGGATTTTCGAGTTCTCCCTTAGGGTGTGCTCGATGAAACTACGTAGTTTAGTGTCCTCTCTTGGGAACTTAGTGTCTAATAGAAGACAAGTACTCATGGGAGGCATTAGATTATGCGGTTTTACCATAGGAGGGCTCGGACGAATCAGAACGGCCGCCTCCCGCCGACTTCGGAGGCGCCGCCGAGGGCTCGGACGGAGTGGGGTGACCTGTTTCCGCCGACTTTGGGGCCACCATAGACGGCCCGGACGAAGCAGGACGGTCTGATTCCGCCGGCTTTGGGGCCACCATCGAAGGCCCAGACAAGGCGAGGCGGCTTGATTCCGCCGGTTCCGAGGCCACCGTCGAAGGTCTAGACGAGGCGGGGTGGTTTGATTCCACCGGCTCTAGGGGCGCGTCCTCCCCCTCCTGCCCCGTGGCATGCCGTAGGAAGGGCCCCGCCTACGGCGAAGGTGGGTCCTCGTCCCCGGCGGCCAGATCATCCCACGGGATGGGTGACCTGGAGCAGTCATCCTCCTCCTCTTCCTCTTCTTCTTCTTCTTCCTCCTCTTCTTCCGACGAACCTTGATGCTACTTCCCTCGCTGCTTCGACCGCCGTTTCTTCTCCTCGTCGTCCTTCTTCTTCTTCCTTTGTTCATCCGTGGCATGGTTCGCCACCCTCATGGTCGCATGCTCTGGCAGCGGCACGACAGAGTTCCAAAAGACTAACCCCGCTGGTAGCTCGATGATGCCAGCGTCTGACCATATCACGGGATGCCTTGGGATCAGGAACACGACATTGGCCTCCCCCATGGCCTCCTTGATGCACTACACGACCTCGCTGTCGTGGAGCAGCCCCTAGGCGAGCGTCGTCCAGACGAGCTACGCGCCGGGCATCATCCTGTACAGCAGGAGGACGTGCGCCATCAGTGGCGCCACCCTCGAAGAAAGGCAACGAGCCCTTGGGACCGGCCGAACGGACCCAAAAACTATATGAATTGGCCGCCAAGGGTCTGGAGTCAGTCACCAGCTGACCCATGCTGGACCGCCGTGAACGGGAAACCAGGGCCCCACTCGGACTAGCCCGTTAACAGCTCACCAAGCACCATGTTTCATCCATCGAGGAAAAATATGGCACGGCTCAGCCCCTCCGTTTTATCGAAAAAAATGCTTGAGGGATGATGGTCATAAAGATGAGCCGACCCTCGACCGGACCCCTGCTACGCGCGGGGGCTCGAGGGAAGTTGGACTCGCAAGGAGACCGAACGGGCGGTTGTAGTACGATGATGGACCGACCGGGGTACCCAAGGAGGTAGGACTAATAACCATCGAACGTTAAAAACTCCCGGACGGACAAAAGCACTACTACGCTTCTTGCCCGAACGATGGGAGTTTAGTTCCGCCTCGCCCGACGCCCATGGGACGGCTCCACCTCGCCTGAGGGCTGAGGGCTGAGGGCTGTGGCTCCGCCTCGCCCGAGGGTGGACGGTGGGGTCCACCTCGCCCGAGGGCTGAGGGTGGGGTCTGCCTCACCCGACGTCCGGGGCCAGGCTTCGCCTCGCCCGACGGCTAAAAGCAAGACTCCGCCTCGCCCGACCCCAAGGGCTGGGCTCCACCTCGCCCGACCCCGAGGGCTGGGCTCTGCCTCACCCGACGGATAAAGGCTAGGCTCCACCTCACCTCACGCCCGAGGACGGACCTCGCCTCGCCCGATGTCCAAAGGCTAGCTCCGCCTCGCCTGACAACCGCACCCCGCTCCTTCATGATGATAGGCACAGGGTAAGACAAGACATTTGGGTCAACCGCGGCATCGAGGACCATGCCCTGTGCCCCTGTAGGAAAGTACCGTCAGGGCACGACGGGACAGGCGCTTAGACCCTTCTAGGCGTGGTAGAGCCTGAATAGTGTTGCAGGCGCATGCTCCTCGCCCTATAGTGTTGTAGGCGTCGCCTTCAGCCTTCGGGCGAAGAACCTGACATAGACATACGACAACCACTACGTTCCAAGGGGGGACTCCCGTCCTCTACAGTGGCGAACGAACAGTCACCGCGCCATCCACTCCCCACGGGGTTGCAGGTCGACACCCTGTCCGACACGCCGCCTGCGGGGGCGGGACGGGACGCACCCACTTGCTAAATGAGGTCAGGGCATGGCCTACGAAGATCAACGAACACGCCGCTTTCTGACACGGTCTGCCATGTTATGCAGGGCAGGAGCAGGAAAAAAGGAAGACCCGTATCCTTCGAAGGACCTTCTATACCCTTGGTTTTTCCCTCTTTCTCCCATCTATAACCCCTGCTCTCCCCTTGGTCTATAAAAGGGATGGCAGGGCTCCCCACTAGGTGGACCGACTTTTGACGAACAACTCACACACAGACAAACTCATAGAGAGTTCGGTTCGCCACATCACGCACACAGCCAGGCCGCCATCAGGCTCTTGGCATCCTTTCGACCCTTCCATCAGAGACCTAGGACCAGTCCCTCTCTCGACCGTTTGTACCCCTACTATGAACCTTTTTTGGTGCTAATAACACGAGCAGCAACAGGCTGGACGTAGGGACATTCAGCCCGAATCAGTATAAACCTTGTGTCCTTTAGCGCACCATCTGGGCCTAACGCGCATCAATTCTAAATTACTAGCCGGTGTTTGTTCGAAACACCGACACTAGGGTACCAGAATCAAGAAAAATCTTTCCGACCTCCCGAATCCTACGGTTACATGCCCCTAAGAAGACTGATCGCGACAAAAGAGAATCATCATCCTACCAGGACACGCTACAAGCTACAAAAAGAAGGCCAAGGCCCTCAGAGTCTTCCCATCCGGAAAAACTTCCAAAGGAGTATTCTACTCCTCCGCAGGCTCGGGGGTACTGTCGAGTATCGATATTAGGGATACCCAAAGCAAGAAAGTTAGCGCCTACGCTGACTTCCCCGGATGGCTTGAGACGTATTAAAAGGTCTCGCCCGACCCCAAGGCCGCGGGCTCCATCTCGCCCGACCTCGAGGCCACGGGCTCTGTCTTGCCCGGCCTTGAGGCCGCGGGCTCCGTCTTGCCCGCCCCCAAGGACGTGGGTTCCTTCTCGCCTAAGGCCGCGGGCTCCGTCTCGCCCGACCTCGAGGCCGCGGGTTCCGTCTCGCCCAAGTCCACGGGCTCCGTCTCGCTCGACCTCGAGGACGCGTGTTCCGTCTGGTCCGACGGGGACCCATACCGCCACCAACCACTCCAGGTCCAAGCGTATGGGTCTAGGTCAAAACTCTGACGCTAGGAAAAAGGCTGGCACACCTCGATGTAACCCATGGCTATGACGGGCCATACCTGAGGATTCACATCAAGAACAGTGTAGGGCGTGCCGGTGCTATTCTACCAAATCCTCGTATGGACGCTGACAGGCGCGTCAGTTCTCCACGACATCCGCTGGGACGGAGTGAAACGCCATGACTGGCAGATGACGCCTGCGCATAGCGCCAGTGACGAATAGGGCCACGACATGGAGCCGTCCCTGTTGACATCTACAGGATCGACGGGACCCACATGAAAGAGAAGAAGGACACGACAACCCTGTAAGCATTCTTCTCTATCTCGTTCTTCTCTTTTTCCTCCTCTTTAACCCGTGTTTTCTCTTGGCCTATAAAAGAGGAACCAAGACGCCCCATGAAAGGGGGATCTGGACACAAGAGCACGATACGAGCACACGGCTAAGCGGTAAGCGAGCTCACAGCACCTGTTCACTTCTTCCACCAGAGACTTGAGATCATCTCCCCCTCTCACCTGTTTGTAACCCCTACTGCAAACCAAGTGCCGGTAACACGAACAACAGTGAACTGGACGTAGTGACGTTCCGTCCGAACCAGTATAAACCCTTGTGTTCTCCTAGCATACCATCCGAGTCAGACGCGTAAATACAAATTTACTCGTCGGTGGTCAAAAAAAACACCGACGCATCTCTTGTATAGGTGAAAGACTACTTTTTATGAGGCAATGTTTTCATCTGCTTGCGTTGACGAAGCCCTAATTAGGGCGCGTTTAGTTCGCGAAATTTTTTGGGTTTGGCTACTGTAGCACTTTTGTTTGTATTTGGTAATTAGTGTCTAATTATGGACTAATTAGGTTTGAAAGTTTCGTCTCGTAATTTCTCACCCAACTGTATAATTAGTTTTTTTTGTCTATATTTAGTACTTCATGCATGTGCCGTAAAATTCGATGTGACAGTTTGGGATGAAAATTTTTTTAAGCTAAACGGAGCCTTAGTTACGCTCTTTTATGGCGGAGCCTAGTACATCTCTGGTTCTTCTTCAATGTTTTTTTTTAAGAAAAACTTGAATTTTCCATAGTGCCACTGCCACCAACCCATCACCCAACAGTTGTCGCCGTCACGGTCTTCGTGGCACCTCCCGTCCATAAATAAAACGTGTGCCCACAAATCTCTTCGCTGGCAACCGCAGCACAATCCCGTGCGGCAGCGGCACACGCACAGCAGCGCCCGCCTCGCTTCTCCTCTTGCCAAAGCACCCCCCATCTCCACAGAATTCCGCTCCCTCCTCGTCTCCTCCTCCCGCGCCCGCGCGTTGTGAGGTGAGGTCTGACCCCGAGGCCGCAATGGCGACAGCGGAGGTGGTGGTGGCCAACGGCTCGGGCGGCGCCGACACCAAGGCCGCGTTTAAGGAGATATACAGCAAGCTCAAGGAGGAGATGCTCAAGGACCCCGCCTTCGAGTTCACCGACGAGTCGCTCCAGTGGATCGACCGCGTAATGCTCTTCCCCCCTCCCCTTAGTTCTACTGTGGGTGTCGGCTTCTTGATCTCGGGCGGTCTCGTCAGTTCTTTTGATTTCTACAGAGTTTTATGGGCTTTCGGTGATTCCGAGGATCTGGCTGGCCGTTGAATTCTTCCGGTTGAGGGTTATGAGTATCAGAGTCAGAGTACTCTCTCTCTCTCGCTGAGTAAATCAATTACTAGAGTTGGACTAGTCAAACTTTTCTAGACCGAATTTATAGAAAAGAGCACGAATGTTTATGTTAACAAATGATCACGATACTAATTTAGTTTCATAAATCTTGATGTTCTTTTTCTATAAATTCGGACAAACATGAAAAAGTTTGACTAAAAAGAAAACGCTAATAGTTGATTTATGCGGTGTTTGGATCAGGGACTAAAATTTAGGAGGTGTGTCGTGAGGACGTTGCATGGGGTGTTTGGATATTAATAAAAAAACAAATTACATAATCCGTCATTACTCCACGAGACGAATTTTTTAAGTCTAATTAATCCGTCATCAGCACATGTTACTGTAGCACCATATTGTCAAATCAGGGACTAATTAGGCTTAAAAGATTCGTCTCGCAAATTAGTCGCAAACTATGCAATTAGTTTCGTAATTAGTCTATATTTAATACTCCATGCATGTGTCCAAACATTCGATGGGAGAGCGACTAAAATTTAGGAGAGGCAACCAAACACCACCTTATTCAGACAGAGGGAGTACACAAACAAGAAGGTTTCTGTTTAGATTAGTTTAAATGTGTTAGAATTACTAGTCTGCCTGGGAATTCTGATTAAAAGAGTGAGTGATCTCTTAAAATCCCTCTTTGTATCTGTCACACAAAAATGGGACTTAGGAAACATGAAACAACTACTGGGTTTAGTGTAGGCTACCAAAGGATCGATGAATCGATCAATTTGTTGCGAAAGGCCTAACAGGGTTGAAATTTGCTGTTACCTGTTACTAAAAGTAACTTCCCTTGCTAATTTTTGCTCACCAAAGTTTAGTTACTCTGTGGCGTTTACCTCTGGTGACTGGTCACAATTAGATGATGTTTTGGGTAGCAAATTAGGTTGGTGATTAGTTACTTTTTAGTATCCCAAACCTCATCTGATTTATGACTCAAGTATAATGGGTATTTAATATGTTTCCATTGGAGCATACCTTCTATACTGATCTCGGCCTCGGGTAAACTTACAGGATTTTTGTTTTAGAAAAAAATGCTCCCTGAACACTATTAAGCTGTGCAACTTCTTTGAAAATTGACTATTTGAGTTACATGTGACTATGCACTGAGTAAAGGGGTAAATATCAAAATGCTGAAAGTTATGGTAACGATTTCACGAAAATGTCAAAAAACTGGAGTTCACAAGACGGTTCTTATAATGATTGTCCACTAATTTCCATTTTGATTTGTAGTTTCTGTCTCCAGAGAAGGAAATCAACAGAAACTGGAAATCTACATAATGGATCCCATTGTTTCTGATGATGTCTTTCTTTTAGTTTCTGTGGTTAAGATCAGAGAATAATGTATCATTAGCTTGGATAACTTTTTGACTTGTTTATTTCTTCTGGAGTAGATGGTGGATTACAATGTGCTTGGAGGAAAGTGCAACCGTGGGCTCTCTGTCATCGATAGCTACAAGATATTGAAGGGTGTTGATGTTCTGAGCAAGGAGGAGACATTTCTTGCCTGCACCCTTGGCTGGTGTATTGAATGGGTACTACGTCCTGCTGGTGTTGTTTTCAAGCATTTTTAATGTTAATAGATTGATTTTTCTGCTAATTTGGAATTTTAAATCACTATTTTCTTATCTTGCAGCTTCAAGCTTATTTTCTTGTGCTTGACGATATTATGGACAACTCCCAGACACGGCGTGGCCAGCCTTGCTGGTTTAGAGTGCCGCAGGTTAGATCAGAAGCATCTATCCTTTTTACTTACCAAATTATTTCTATCGGTTCTTGTTTTGATGGCTGTACTAAGGTCTTACTTGAGAAGTTTGGTGTTAAACCCGAGTTATATAAGAATCCATCCATCAGTTTTCTGCTAAGCCATGTTTTTGTCATATCTCCTCTTAACTAACTTATTCATGTTCCATGATTCTGTTTCATTTCCTCATAGGGAGGTCGTTTATACTAGTGTATTGTTGAGCTTTTGCAGATTGTTTTAGGCTTTTAGCTTCTAAAGTATGAAACCTATTGCTCACCTTTTGTTTTGCAATAGGTTGGCCTCATTGCTGTAAATGATGGGATTATCCTTCGCAATCATATTTCACGAATCCTTCAACACCACTTCAAAGGAAAGCCATATTATGTTGATCTCATTGACCTATTCAATGAGGTAATCATATCTTCTGACGTAATAATTTATTCATGCTATGTATGTTGGATGCTTCGTACATATGACTGATTCACTTTTTATGTTTTCAGGTTGAGTTCAAGACAGCTTCAGGGCAATTGTTGGATCTTATCACTACCCACGAGGGTGAAAAGGATCTAACTAAATATAACTTGACAGTGTAAGTTTATTTCACTGTATCAGTAACATAATTCACACGCTTTGTTTCCTTGCATGATTTATTGTGTAGTTTCCAGAATGAGTTATTATTATGTGTTTGGCACCTCAAATTTGGGACGTAATATTTATTTGTGCTAATTTCTCTCAATGATTTTCATTTTGCACAGTCACCGCCGCATCGTTCAGTACAAGACAGCTTATTATTCATTCTACCTTCCTGTAAGAGTTATTGCTCTATATATTCCTCTCAGTTATCTGAAATCTGAATGTTAGCATTTTAATTTGATGAATGTGGTAACAAGTTTCTACTCTACTCAAGGTTGCATGTGCATTGTTGCTGGCTGGTGAGAACTTGGATAACTTTGGTGATGTAAAGAACATTCTCGTCGAAATGGGAACATACTTTCAAGTTCAGGTAATGCTCTTGTTCTTTGAAGGCCAAATGATATGGATTTGCTATATTGGACTACCTCTGATTAATGATATTTGTCTACAGGATGATTATCTAGATTGTTTTGGTGATCCTGAATTCATTGGCAAGGTTAGGTGTTTGCACCTTTTGTTTCTACTATATAGAATAAAGTGTTACTGTTGGGTGAATTGCAATCAAGGCCCTGTTTTCTTGAACTTCATCTCATCAGTATTTATTCTTATCACAGATCGGAACTGACATTGAAGACTACAAATGTTCCTGGCTAGTTGTGCAAGCTCTTGAACGTGCTGATGAGAACCAAAAGAGGATTCTGTTTGTAAGCACTACTAAAAATTGGTCAATTTTTTCACAACATAAACGACCAAGTAAAAAATCCCTTCATGTATGTTCAAACAGGAAAATTATGGAAAGTCTGATCCAGCATGTGTTGCAAAGGTGAAGGACTTGTACAAAGAGCTTAAACTGGAGGTTTGTCCTGACCATTTCATGTTCTTATGATTTATTGTTTCGAGTCCGCCTTGTAAGCATCACGGTTCGTTGTTACTGTCTGGAAACGGTTAAATCCAACATCTGATGGTCATGATGCACTGACCTGGTTAAATGTACTGAAACAATGCCCATAATGTGGGCATTTACATGTGGCTGATCCCCAACACTCTGTTTCCGTATATGTTCTGTTTTGCTGACGTCCTCTCCTGATTGATATAAATCCAGGAGGTTTTCCATGAGTATGAGAGGGAGAGTTACAACAAGCTGATTGCCGACATCGAGGCCCAGCCGAGCAAGGCAGTCCAGACTGTTTTAAAGTCCTTCCTTCACAAGATCTACAAGAGGGACAAGTAGACGCTTGCATCAAATTACTATACTTGATTGATGCGGACGAGTAATTTGTACTATGTTGTTTTGTGTTTTCATTCACCTCTTGTACCGTACACCTCGAATGAATATAATAAAGCACAGTGCAGGGATGCGTAACTAGCTTGTGTCACCATTCACCAACGCATCCACAGTTCCTGGGTCGTTCCGTCCTTCTCAACTTCCAAAGGATTTGAGAGGACGAATGCTCTGTAAACGACAGTGTCCAGTGTTGTTTTAATGGTGGCGATCTTGATAAGGCAGACAGGGGCACAGGGCACCCCGCACCCGGGTGCCAGTCTACCTCCTCTCTTTTTTTCAAAGGGTGCCAGTCTACTGTTCTCCCCGATCGGACCGGTGCACACCATTTGATGCCTTTCGTATCCAGTATGTTTAAAACTCTCTTTTTTCCTCTGAAGCTCCGTTTGGAGGCTTATGAGCTTAGGGTTTAGTGGATGGGCTAAGGCCAATTATTAATAGCTAACTAAAAATTAGCCATCTAACTATTAGCCCATGCATGTTTGGATCTTAAACTAAAATGTGCATATATTAGCAATGAGTTATTGGTCCAAGTTAGCTAGTTATACTTGGCTATAAATTAACAATTAGCCAAGAGTTTGGCTAAAAATTAGCTCACCTATTTGAATGAACTAGATTAAGATTCAAACTGGACCTCAGTTTGTTAGAAAGAAATTGCCTAGGATAATGGTGTATTGTCCACTGAGGAGACATGGCTAGGCAACAATCTCAGGAAGCACTCGTTGGCTCTATCTCCTCTTAAATGGACGATAGCAAGGGGTCGTTCTAGGATCTATCGGCTTAAGGAAGGCGATGCTAATACTTGCCCCTTTGACCGTTTCAGATTATCTCCAAACTTATTGATGGGGAAATGTTGGTTACTGGTCATGATGATAAAGCAAAGATAATTGATGATTTCTATATTGAACTATTGGGGACTAGTAAAGACTAGGACTACACCGTTAATCCGAACGACCTGAGCATTGGCTTTGGTGACTTGGCTGATCTTGATGCCCCATTTTCTGAAGAAGTTTGGAAGACAATTTGTCAACTATGGTCTGATAAAGCTTCTGGACCTGGTGGGTTTGCTGGGCGCTTTTATAAGACTTGTTGGCTGACACTTAAAGAGGACACTAATTCCCAAGAAAGATGAGGCAATACTTGCCAGTATTTGGGGCTGATCAGCTTGGTACATAGTTTTGCAAAACTTGTTACTGCGATCTTTGCAAACAAGTTTTCTCGTCTGCTACATTTGATTGTGAGTCCTAATCAGAGTGCTTTCATAAAACAGCATTTAATAAAAGATAATTTCATGCTTGTGCAACAAATGACAAGATTCCTCCATCAACAAAAGCAAACCCAAATCATTCTTAACTAGATATCACAAAAGTTTTTGATCCAGTTTTATGGCCTTTTTCTTCTTGAAGTGATGAAGAAATTGGGGTTTGGCTCTATTTGGTGTGATATGGTTAGTGGGATCGTCATTGCTTTCTCTTCAACACAAGTGATTCCATTCTCCTTAATGGAATCCCTAGACAATTAACACACCCTCGTGGCTGCACCAAGGTGATCCTCTGACTTTGATGCCTTTTGTCATTGTCATCGATATCTTGAGTCACCTGGTAACAATCTTATTGCACTCAACTGCCATTGATATTGTGTTAATTGATCTCCACCAATAGGCCCAACGGCATATTGGGCCCTTGTCTCTGCTCTCTGATCGGGGGAGCCCAACCCTAATACGGTTGGTGGGCCCCTGTCGCACAGCACATATAAAGACAGGTGGGGATCACGGCTCGAGTCACGAGGTTGGTCAGAGCCGCCGTTGATCCACAACGATAGAAACCCTAAACCGATCTAAAGCAGTGCTGCCAGCGATGGGAAGCTCCACCACACCACTGCCTCGCCTCTGCAGCCCACGGGATCACCACTGGACCTCGCCACTGAGCCGGAGCTGCCTCGACACCGGCGTCCGCGAGGTTGCAGCGCAACCAGGGCGAAATAGACGAACCCTAAAGAGGTCTACTCCAATCTACGGCTACACAAAGGTACACAATGATTCTAACAATGGTACCAGAGCCAGGTTGCCAGTGTGTAACCCTAACCCTAACCGAGTAAAAGCAAAGAGGAAAAGAGACCGGGGGTGGCGTACGTCACTGGAACCCGGTCACCACCGCCACCGCGCGGGGAAAAGATGCCGCACCACCGTTCTCACCGGCGCACGGCAAGAACAGAACAGATCCAGTTCGGATCTAAGGAAAGAAGAACAAAAAGGTTCCCCAAGCCTAACCCTAACTCGCATGAAGAAGGGGAAGGGAAGCAATTCGGATGAACTCCTAAAAGAAAAGAAATCAAAAGAAAAGTGCAAATCACGAAACCCTAACCCCAGTACCCCAATTGGTTGAATCCGTAGAAAGAAGCAAATTCAAAAGAAAAGAAGGGGAAGAGGGGAAGGGGATAATCTCAAAGATCTCTAATCAAACCAAAAGAAAACACGAATCGGGTTCAACCGAACCCTAACCCTAGATCCCCTTTTTGGGTGAACAAGCGAAAAGAAAAGAAAGAAGATACAAAAGAAAATCCAAAGGGGAAGAAGAAAAGGAACCCTAGATTCCCATTCGGATTGAACCCTAGAACAAACCCTAATTCCCCACAGTCAGTTCGAAAAAGAGAAGATCAATCCAAATCGAAAAGAAGAAGGGGAAGGGGAAGGAGAAAGGGAAAGGGGAAGGAACAAACCTCGCCGTGCGTCGGGATGGCCCTTCGCCGGCATGGGAGAAGAAGGGACGATCCGGGGGGCAGCTGCTCGCCGGGCTCGGCCAAGGGGGCGTCGTGGCCAGGCCGCTCGACGGCGGCGTGCTCACCTGTTGGGGAGCACGCGCGCCGACGAGGGGGCCGGCGACGACGCCATGGTCGCTCCACCGTCTTGCTCGCTCTCGCTCGGTTTCATCGCTGCTGTCACAGAACCGACCAATTTATAAAAGCACAAGTACAAAAACAATCGCCGAAACGATCAAATTCTCGCACTTGAGCCCATATAAACCCGGTAGTCAACTGAAACCACGAAGGATTTCAAACCAACTTGCATACAACCAAGATCACAGTAATTCAACATAACATCTCACATGTTACAACATTTCATAAACAGTTTGCAGATAGATTACAACCCATCAGAGTCATTGTTATTACAAACCAAATCTTGTAAAGTAGCGGAAGCAAATAGTTTAACTCACACACCCGAGTTCAAATACAAGTACCAGCTTGCTGATCACATCCCACAAAAGCATTTGGATAAGATAAACAGAGATTATGCCCATGATCTAGTCTTTGTCACCCGCCGGGTGGAGACAATACTTACAGAAGCCCTGATATAGAAGGTCATCTGCAACAAGAGGGAATAATCCCTGAGTACGAGAATGTACTCAGCTAAACTTACCCGTCATAAACCAGAAATAAATGACACCAAGGAGTATGCAAGGCTTTATCAGTGGATCTTGCTGGACAACCTTTTTGCATAAAAGCTTGAGTAACCATTAGCATTATTCACCTATACTAGCATTGACTTTTAGCCATTACCTACCATCTATATTAGCACCTGTACTAATCAACCATTTGATTTAGTTGCAAACAATAATAACCATATCAAGTATTTCATGGCTCATCATCATTCTCATCATCATCCTCATCATCATTTAACCATATCTTTATATTTAGTGAATCTACGTTGCCGCTGCTCAAGTCAAGTTCTCACTATCCGGGAAAGACGGCGATTCGAATCGATTCCTATCCAGCTGGAGGGGTATTCCTAACACAAACCCTGCTTCCCCCGTCAGGGTTGCAAACAAGTCACCTTTGGCACAACTCAGGAGAAAAATAAAAGAAAAGACGCGGGTTCGGGCCGCCTGGCATTATCAGAGAACCACTCTGCCAAGGGTGATCGGGCCTTTAACCCGTCTTTGGGCTTACGCCAATGGCTCTCCGCACATCCTTACTACCTCCAGAATGCCCCAACCCCCATGGTTCCCTACCGAGTTGAGCTACTCGGCCATGGTCGGAACGACTTATCCGCCACTAAGTGTTAGGTGCGTTCAACATGACCGAGGACGCATAACGAATCGGTCCTTAAATGACACTGACGGGATAGATTCACACCCAAGACCTCCATGCCTTGTTGCTGCACTACCGTCATCCCGTCCGGTCTCCATTCATTATTAACACATGGTTCTTTTCCCACGATAGCAAATATAGCCAACCATGACCAGAGCTCATCCTACATCTCGCAGGTGACAGGAAATCACCAGACTTCTACCGGTCTATGCATAGCTAAGCATCATTCGATCCTACACTTAATTAGGATTCACAGGATTTTATTTGGACAAGGTAGGGATATAATGCAACAATTGGTTCCAACCAATTCCTATACTTAATGCATCATCAACAATAAGAGATACTCAATATATTTGTAAAAACATGGGAGGCTTATAATGCTCGGGGCTTGCTTTTTTCGTGAAAGAGGATGGACGGTGGTCGGGGCACACTCGGCAACTCCTCCGGCGGCTGCTGCTTCGTCGGTTGCACGTATGTGAACCGACCAATTATACTGAAATTAATAAGAAAATCATCCGCCAGAAAGCGCACGATTTAGCAAACTTAAGCCCGTGATAACCCGGTAGTCCGTGAAATCACGAAGGATTTCAAACCAACTTCCATTCCAAACCAAGATCGTAATAAGTTTAGCGGTCACCATCACATATTACATAAAAGTTGCATCTCGGATACATCGAGTTTAAACATAGTTATTACAAAACAAGTTCGAATAAAAGTAGCGGAAGCCATTTGTTCAAACCACACACACTCACACGGAGTTCAAATATAGTGCCAAATGAATGATCATCTCCAACAAAAGCATTAGACGAGACGTAAGGAATGACCATGCCCATGGTCCTAAGCATCACCCATCGCAGGATAAA